CTTTTTTTTTGGGTTGGCAGGTACTTTTGGGTCTATCGGTAGTTTCTGAGAATTGCGGTTTCCGCAACACAAGATAATGCGCATTCTTCGAGAGCCAAGTGAAACGCATGATCCCTCTTCCTTTATATTTTCCTTTTTGTTGTATAATCTGGCAGGTGGACGAAACTCCCACGCAAATTCCTAAACAGGTAAAGAGACAAAAAAAAACGAATTTTCACTTTGATATATAACAGAATTGTTACAACATACAAAATTTGAATACAAGTAAATATGTAACAGAATCAAAAAAATTGCAGTTGTATTTCGGTTATTAATTACTATTACGTAAAGATTATTACATCAAAAGATGCACATTGGAAGATCTTTTCTTATGTTATCATAAAATATGTACAGAATTTTATAGTTTTTCAGTTATTTCAGAAGTTAATAAAATAATTTCTTAGTGAGATTATAGTAATGTTTTTAATTTTCTCATTTAAAGATCATATTGCCACATATGTATAGTAATAGTAATTTTTAAAAATCTCAATTTTGACAGCTTATTACAGGAGAAGGATGAACACCACAAAACTATCAGTACATTCATTTGAAAGCCTCGAGTTTCTTTTTTATTTTTTTTATGGAACGAACTATGTAGCTTACGTGTATGTTGAGTAATTAAATAAAATATGAAGAGACTACTTTTTCAAACTTTTATTTAATTTCTCCATTCTGACAGCATTTCACAGACGTTCACTAATAACTACAAATTTGCTTATTTAACAGGCTAAATTTTCTAATTAGTGTGGACGTTTATCAAAAAAAAATTAAACTAAAAAATGAATTAATCATTATTTTGTAAAATTCATTTTTTTTGTATTAATTTAGCAAATATTGTCAATTTCGAATTAACAGCCAATTAAAACAAATTTATATAGAACAGCGTTTCTCAACCTAATAACCTAAAATTGTATTGTGAAATTTTATGATCAGTATCAAAATGACAACTGTCACAATTGTCAAAGCGAGGACACTCTTATCAATTGTATGCAACTACAAATAAATATGCGTTACAAAAAGGTTTAAAAACTTCTAGTATATACGACAAATTTGTCAATAATTAAATAATTGAAGATATTTTATTAGTAACATCTTAATTATAATTTGTACTCATTACGTTTTTTTTTTCAATTTTTGTTTCAGGTGAGTGACTTTTGGTTCAAGAAAAATATATTCCATTCATAAAAGTAAGTTCAAAAATGAATTGACAACAATAAAGTATACATATTTATTAATTCAATTGTGCTTGAAAACATCTAGTAGTGCGTACACACTATGCATGATTTGAGACAAAAGTGCAAACTTTAATGTACATGTTTATAATTCATTATAAAACTTCCTCATTGTTAAATAGTAATATTTAAATAGATTTACTATAAATTTCAAAAATCTATAAACTTGATATTTATAGGAAAATTATAATTAAAACACGTAATTAATCAAATATATTCGTATGTTAATCTACAAAACAAAACTGAGTGTTTGCCACCTGCCACATTCGAATTAATTTAGTCGTCTGCATTAGTTTCTTGTCTATAGATGAAATATGTTTTATACCTAGATTTATTTTAATTTATGTTCATCCAATTTGCCTAAGGCACGAAGCGCGACGTTTCGCTATTCATGATTTGCAAATTTTAGTGCAAAACAGAAACTCGCATAGTTAAAGATTTCTATTTTTATTCTTCTGGGCAGGGCTTAGTCTATTTGCATAACCTTTTCAATTGTTCGTTTACTTTGTCTAATAACCGATGGAATTCATATTTGCATACAATTTTACGCCTTACTCCAGTTTTCCACTTCCATCTGTAATAGGTAAGAATATGTATCTAAGCATAATACAAAAAATAATAGTTTATAAAGTATAATACACACCTACTTGTTCTAATTTAGAAGTTGTAATAATTATTTAATGTCAGTTTAGATTATTTCTTGCTTTCATTGGTAAATTCTTAAACAATTTCAATGTGTACACTTAAAATATGAAATCCCAAGTTTTTTTTAATAATATTTTTTTTGTGATTATCCCAATTGAATTATTATTGATAATTTCCTAATTATTATAGTTTTCTTTTAATATAACAAATTTAAAAGGATTTAAAATTATAAAGTATAGTACACATCTGTTGCAATTTAGATCGTGTTACATTTAACGCCGACTTTAGATTGCTTCATGTTATCGTTGCTTAATGCACGATTCAAATCAGTTATGAATGTCTCTACGGAAAATATGAAAGTGGCAAAGTGGGAAAAAAGCCCAAAAGCGAGTAAAAATTTCGGTTCACTTTTACTCTCCTGATCGATTGCAATTCTCCGATCGGATCGTTTACTATTATTGGTGGGTAATGAAATGAGCATATTCCGTTTCCTAACCGAATACACAGAAAATGGTGATCGTAAATAAGAAAGCGCGCCGCGCTGCGAATTTGCGTTTCCTGTATGCAACTTCTTGTTTTTCTTTTTCATCTCTCACCATCTTCTTGATAGATCTTCATCGTAAAATAACATTTATAAACAATAAATCTTAATGGAAATCATTTATTTCTCATATCTGTTTACTTGTAATAGATTTTCTCTTAAAGTGTTTGAACCATTAGTTTTATTAATATTTAATGGTGCTTAAACAATTATTTATTCAATGATTTAGAAAAGTATTAAATGTTTTTATGATGATTCTCTGCACAGCAATAGATTAGGGTGCGTTATAAGCAAATTTCGCGCATGCGTATCTTAGATAAGTAATGGGTGCGTGCGCATATTTAATAAACAAATTAACCAATGGACAAGTAAATCACTAATCCATAAATATGACAGATATTTATGGATTAGTGCACTATCAATTTATATAACAATAAATAATGTTACCATGTATTATATTAAGAACAGTGTGGTTATAGCATTAGATTAGGTACAAATTTATTTTGCTTTCGGTGTTTTGGCTTAAGGCTATAACTTTTGTTATTGGTGTTGCTCGTGCTAATTATAACTGTTGCTGCTGATTTAATTGGGTAATCACTTGATTTATGCTAATCATACGCCTCGAGCGTAAGTGGAATTGGAATCATTATAGAATACAAAAAAAACAGATCCGAAAATAAGTAGGTCTTTAATATCAGAACGTTTATTTAAGTGTACCATTAAATCCCACGTAAAGCAGCTCAAGTAATTGTGTGGTTTCGATTTAAACAAGCTTCAATCACTAGATGATCTAGTTAATATATAAAATACAAGATAATTTGATGCATTTGTAACAATACTTGTATATAAATTGCACAGAAAACAAAATTTATTGAAAATTTGACAATTGACAGATAAAAGACGTTTTGTTGAAACAATATACTTTGACTTTTGTCAATAATTGTCATTTGAGAGTTGACAATATCGATAACTATAGTTAATAAATAAAATACAAGTTCAAATTGTTTAAAGAAATGGTTATATAACATATAAAAAAATTGACAGTAGACAGAAAAATATCATTTGAGGAAAGAAATAAATTAAAGTTTTGACAGTTGACATATAAAGTCGATATAACTAAGCTTGTATCGTTATATAATCTAGTTAATAAATACATATTAGATTGTTTATTTATTAATAAAATTATTGAAACAGTGACGTGAAATATTAAAATTACGTTGAAAACAAAATATATTGAAAATTTGACAGTTGACAGATAAATGACATTTTGATGAAACAATAAAGTTTGACTTTTGTCAATAATTGTCATTTGAGAAAAAAAAGATACATTGACAGTTAAATAATGATCACTATAGATAATAAATATAATACAAGTTAATTTGATTTATTTGTAACAATACTTGTTCATAATGTAATTGTTCAAAGAAATGGTTATATAACATATACAAAATTGACACTTGACAGACAAATATCATTTGGGAAAAGAAATGAACTAAAGTATTGACAGTTGACAGATAAATGTCGATATAACTAAGCTTGTATAATCTAGTTAATAAATACATATTAGATTATTAATTTATTAATAACATTATTGTAATAGTGACGTGAAATATGAAAATTACGTTGAAAACAGAATTTATTGAAAATTTGACAGTTGACAGATAAATGACATTTTGATGAACCAATAAACTTTGACTTTTATCAATAATTGACATTTGAGAAAAAAAAAGATACATTGACAGTTGTCAGTTAAATAGCGATCACTATAGTTAATAAATATAATACAAGTTAATTTAATTTATTTGTAACAATACGTGTTTATAATAAAATTATTGAAAGAAATGGTTATATAACATATAAGAAATTGACAGATGACAGATAAATGTCGATGTAACTAAGCTTGTAATATAATCTAGTTCATAAATAAATATTTGAATGTTTATTTATTAATAATATTATTGATATAGTTACTTGAAATTTAAGAATTACATTAAAAATGGAAAATTTGACAGGTGACAGATAAATGACATTTTTGACTGATAATTGACATTATATAATTTAGTAAATACTAGATAATTTATTTATTAATAATATTATTGAAATCATCATGACAACAATCAGAATTTATTGAAAATTTGACAGATAAATGACATTTTGAGAAAACATAAAACCCCAAACGTTCACATTTGATTCATAAATGTCAATTTTAAACACACAAAAGTCATGAAGTTTGATAGATTAATATAAGAAGAATGTTGACAGATAAATGTCCTTTAAGAAAACAAACGTTGACAGTTGACACATAAATGTCATATGACGAAAACAACAAAACTGAAATATTGTTCGACATCGATTGTTAATCATACCAACACGAACTTCAATAAATTGAACTATTTCCTTGTGTTTCGCTCTGAATTATTCAGAAATTTAATAAAAAAGAATGGGATTATTTATGAACTTCGTAAAGAAGTAGACTTTACAATTTTTCATTTTTATTTTAAATCCTGTCAC